CCTCGGCGCTGTCCTCTACATCTGTCATCCACAACCCCTAGCTCCGTTAACGTCCTGCAATCTCTTCAGCGATGGCCCCAATGTATTCGGGTTCCGATCCGAATCCGGAACCCTACTCCTCCCAATTCAACCCCAAAACCCTAAATCAGCGCCCGAGGATGCCTCGGCAGCGAATTCTCCATCGTTTTCCAAGAGGAAGAGGAGGGCAGGGCTTGTGCCCGTCAATGGGAGCGTCAGCATTGTCCATCAGATCCATGCGTTGGTGTCTGCTGGGTGTTTGAAGATCAAAGCTAGGGTTTTGGGGGTTTCTGTGAGGGAGGAGGCGAGGGCGGTGGTGTTGGTTGATGTTTATTTGCCGATCGAGGTTTGGTCCGGGTGGCAGTTCCCGAAGCGGGGGGCTCTTGCTGCTTCCGTGTTCAAGCACGTCAGGTATTTGATTGGAAATTTCAAATTTGTAGGCAAATTAGTTGTAATCAAGAAAATAGCTCCTTCTATTAAGATGCTACTAAACATAGTCTCAATTGAATGCAAATCCTATCGGACCACTTGCTACACTATTGTGGTGGTTTAAATCATGAAAACAGCGGCTAAAATTCCTAATATCTGCCCTTATCCTGCCCGTTAATGGTTCAAAACACTTACTTGTGTGTGGACGTTCTGATAAAATTTGTACCTGTCTAAACTCAAAATTAGGGTGAATAGATTATGCCCAGCTGTCCATGCTCCTTGCTGAAAACTCTAACTTTGTCTGTATATTTATACACGGGAATCATGTTTTCGAACGATTAACAAATCAAGTAAATAGGAAACTTTGAAATATTAAAGGATTAATCAGTTAGCCAGTGTTCTTTCAGAAAAAAAGGCATTATGTACATGTTTGTAATATGAAGGGGCAAGAGTGTGTATCAATACACGTTTATAATTAGGTTTAACCTTTTAAATCAGATATACTTGCTAATTTTTAGTGATTTGCACACGTTTACCTCCCATATTTCGGGATAATGCTAGTCCAGATGAATCTTATCTTCTCTGGAAGATAGTTGTCTTGATAAGCTAAGTCTTTCATAAACAGAGGTACTGAAAAATAATCTGGTTTCATGTTTGTTTGTGGGTCGAGGGATAGATATTATCACAGGTCTTGATTCAATAAAAATTGTCATAGGTCTTGATTCAATCAACCTCATGAAACACACTAATAATGTTGGATAGGTTCTGATGCCAAAAAAAAAAGGTGGATAGAATTGTCATAATCTGAGAGAGTATGGGCGTGGGTTTATGCATTAATGGTAGCATGGTTGTGTTATGTTAGGTGTGGCTGATGGCAGTTGCTGATAGTAGATTACGCTAACTGGGAAGGCCGTACTATGGGAGCTTGTATTCCCATGCCATTGATTACACAGGAACTTCTGTTTGTTAGTACCTGATATTTATTTCTTTTGTGAAGCCATTCAAGTTGAGACAGATAATTTGCTACCATGCTAAACCAAATCAGGATGATCTGCTTACAGGTGTGACTGGGAAACTCGAAGTTCACTGCTTGTGCTAGATGAGAATACTGACACTTATCTTCAAATGCACGATGAGAGCATCTGGGGCTGTTCTGATTGTCATGTTCTTGGGTGCATGATGCATAATATTTCTTCTGGTGCTGTTAATAGAAGCTCATTTGATCTCCATGAAATATTTAAGATGTTGTCCAGTGTACAAAAGGAGGAAATGTCCCGTTCTACTCGACTAAAACCTGAAGTTGCACCTGCAGGTACTGGCCTCTGGGACATTGCTGATGATGTACTGACAAAGATTTTGGGTACACTTCGTTCAAATGATCTCATTAGGGTTGCATGCACTTGTCGTCATCTGAGAGGCTTAGCTTCATCTGTAATTCCATGTATGAACGTTAAACTTTTCCCTCACCAGGAGGCTGCAGTTGACTGGATGTTGAGACGCGAGCACAGTGCTGAGGTGCTGCCACATCCTTTATATATGAGTTTTTCAACAGAAGAAGGATTTTCCTTATACATAAATGCTGTTTCAGGTGAAATATCTACCGGTGTGGATCCTACGGTAAATGATTTTCGTGGTGGAATGTTCTGTGATGAGCCTGGTCTAGGGAAGACAGTAACAACACTCTCTCTTATTCTAAAAACACATGGAACTTTGGCTGATCCTCCTCAAGGAGTAGATGTGGTATGGTGCATGCATGAGTCTGAAAGGAGATGTGGTTACTATGAACTTAGTGCTGATAATTTTACTTCCATGAACTTTATGTCAACTTGGAAAAGATTTATTGGTCAGAATGGGCGGAGGGGGAAATTCTGTTCTAGTAACTTGCCTCTGAAATGCAGTTCGATTGAAGTTCCAGAATCCAGTTCAGGAAGACATAGCAAATCAATGTCTCCTAAATTCACAGACTCTCTAGCTTATTCTGTCGTGAACTCGGGTGATTCAACCTGTGGAAGTGCACCTCTCATGCAAGCAACACGTATTCTTAGATGCACCCGAAGCTTGAGTCGAATTAAGAGAAACCTTTTGGAGACATATGAAAAAGATGGAGGTTGGGAAGGGAAAAGAAAAGCTGCAGCTCTGAATGATTCGAAGATTGAATCAGAGGAAATTAGTGCCATCTCGCTAGTATCTATCAACAGTCACAAAAGGAACAGGAAGGATGATGCTGGTTCTTCTCAGTCTACTGAGACTTGGGTACAATGTGATGCTTGTAGCAAGTGGCGTAAACTGAATGAGAGGAGTTTACCTGATGCTAGTGCTGCATGGTTTTGTAGTATGAACACTGATCCTTTACATCGGAGTTGTGCAGATCCAGAGGAGACCTGGAACTACAAACGGAAAATAACACATTTTCCAGGATTTTATACCAAAGGGACACCCCAAGAAGAGGAACAAAATGTGTCATTCTTTACTAGTGTGCTCAAGGAGCATTCTATGTTGTTAAATTCTCAAACAATGAAGGCGTTAACTTGGCTGGCAAACCTTTCACACAACAAACTTCGAGAGATGGAAACTGTTGGCTTAAGACGTCCTGCATTTCAAGACGCTCAGATGCTCTCGGGCAAAAATGCCCCCGGATATCATAAGATATTTCGTGCATTTGGTCTTGTAAGAAAGGTTGAAAGAGGTACAACCAGGTGGTTTTATCCATCCACCCTTGATAATTTGGCATTTGATTTAACTGCCCTAAAAATCGCTCTTACAAAACCGGTGGACTTAGTCAGGCTTTATTTATCTGGCGCAACGCTCATCATCGTCCCTGCAAATTTGATTGATCACTGGAAAACCCAAATTCAGATGCATGTCAGGCCTGGCCAGCTGCGTGTTTATGTCTGGACTGATAACAAAAAGCCTTCTGCACATAATCTGGCATGGGATTATGATGTCGTTATAACTACATTCAGCCGATTAAGTGCAGAATGGTCATTGCATAAGAGGAGCATACTAATGCAAGTACACTGGCTTAGAATAGTCTTAGATGAAGGTCACACACTTGGCTCTAGTGTTAACTTGACTAACAAATTGCAAATGGCTATTGCACTTGCTGCAACGAATAGGTGGATTTTAACTGGTACACCAACTCCAGATACACCAACCAGCCATGTGGGTCATCTTCAACCTATGCTTAAGTTTCTCCATGAAGAAGCTTATGGCCAGAGTCAGGAATCATGGGAGGTTGGCATCCTTAGACCTTTTGAATCTCTGATGGAAGAGGGACGATCTCGTTTACTGTTCCTACTTCAGAGAATCATGATTAGCGCGAGGAAAGAGGATTTGAGAAATATTCCTCCTTGCATAAAGAAAGCAATTTATCTACATTTTAATGAGGAGCATGCAAGGAGTTACAATGAACTAGCTGTTACTGTTCGTCGCAATATTTTGATGGCTGACTGGAATGATCCATCTCATGTTGAATCACTTCTCAATCCTAAACAGTGGAAATTCCGTGGTAACACAATCAGGAATGTTAGATTGTCTTGTTGTGTGGCTGGGCATATCAATGTAAAAGATGCTGGTCAGGATATTCAGGAAACAATGGATTTATTGGTACAACAAGGCCTAGACCCTCACTCAGAAGAATATGTTTTCATAGAGTATTCACTTCTACATGGGTGCAGCTGTTTCAGGTAATCAGTACATAAGAACATGTTCGTTAATCATTCTTCAAGATTTACAATCCTTCTTTTCACATTTCTTTTTTAGGTGCAAAGTTTGGTGCCGTTTACCTGTTATTACCCCATGTAGGCATCTCTTGTGCCTAGACTGTGTTGCTTTAGATAGTGAGAAATGCACTTTCCCTGGTTGTGGCAACCATTATGTCATGCAGTCTCCTGAAGCATTAGCACGGCCAGAAAATCCAAATCCAAAGTGGCCTGTTCCCAAAGATCTTATTGAGCTGCAACCTTCATATGAACAGGTATGTAACAACAGAGCCATTTTCCTTTTATCTCCCATTATGTTCTCATTCTCTCCACCTCTCTTTTTCTCCAAAATGAGTTTGCCTAGCATTCTACAGGATGACTGGGATCCTGACTGGCAATCAACAAAAAGCAGCAAAGTTGCATACTTGATAGAGAGATTGAAGGATTTGCAAGAATCCAGCAGGAGAATTCACTACTTAGAGAGCATCCACAGTAGAGAAATTATTCTTCCCATGCAAAAGAGCAATTATAGCATGTTTGGGTGCCAGGAGAGTGAGAGCAGTCATAATGGTCCGCCTTGTAAGATATTGCCTGAGAAAGTGATAATTTTTTCTCAGTTTCTGGAGCATATACATGTCATTGAACAGCAGGTAGCTATATCTTGGTTAGATGGTTACATTTCAGGTTCTTTAAAATGTTGATTTGAATTTATGAATTGTACTCTTTTTTTCCCCTTCAGTTAACAATTGCTGGCATCAGATATGTGGGAATGTACAGCCCGATGCCTTCTAGTAAGAAGGTATGCTTCCATCAACAGATTTTTTTAAACAGTTGGATCTTCTGCGGACTTAACATCTGTTCTTCTGCTTTTGCAACAGATGAAGTCATTACTGATATTTCAACATGATCCAAGTTGTATGGTTCTTTTGATGGATGGAAGTGCAGCACTGGGCCTTGATTTGAGTTTTGTTTCATTTGTGTTTTTGATGGAACCCATATGGGATAGAAGGTAATACTTACACTCTCATGTGGTTTGTAGACTGCTAACCATTTACTTATTTAGGCTGGGAAAAAAAATATTTCAGAATTACTGATACTTATATATCATTTTAGTTAATATGTATCTCTAATTGTTAAAATTTGTAAGGCATATATCATTTTTAAAGTTTGCTTGGCATTCAGAGTTATGTTAAGACTTTTAGTTCTATACATGGCCATTTTCCTTGACTTGGCAAATTCACTTTCTTACTTTTACTTATTGATTTATACCTAATTTGCACCGAATCATTAAGTTTCTTATATTTAATCAGCATGGAGGAGCAGGTGATTAGTCGTGCTCATCGCATGGGTGCTACTCGTCCTGTGTACGTGGAAACCTTGGCAATGAGGGGTACCATCGAAGAGCAAATGCTGGAATTTTTACAGGTGCTTAACCTATTTTTCTCTCTTCCTCTTCTTTCCTTTTATATCACTGTTGATCTTTTTTTTTTTTGCATTTTCATGAGTGAATGCTTTTTTCCCCTTTCTGTTTCTTTTTTTTTGTTTTGCGCGCGGGGATCTGACACAACACATGCACAGACCTGAAAAAGAATTTCTGTAAAAGTCGGGGAGTAGAAACAAATCAAACATCTCCTTGTAATTTATCACTTTATGATTAATCAGGACATTCAAAATCCTAATGCGTGCTATTGTATTAGTTGTTAAACTGCAACTATTTCTGTTACACTACTATTTGTGACCATTATATGTTCTATTTTTGTAGACCTTGTATTCTAATTGCCCTTGCCCTTGCAGGATTCCACTTTGAGGAAGAAAGCCCTAAAACGAGAGGCTGAGAAGACTACCAATGAAGGATCAAAAGCACCCCGTACACTACATGATTTTGCTGAGAACAACTATCTCTCCCAACTTACTTTTGTCCATACTAATACCGAGGCATGAAAGGTATTCAGTTTATTGCAAATGCTCTCTTTCAGTAGTTTGCTATTTGTTTCTTGATTCAAGTTGTTACTTATAGCTGGTGTTAAGCAGTAGGTGCCTGCTGGATTCCAGAAAAAACAGCTAGGAATAATCTTAATTTGCAGATTTTAAATTTTCATTTCTTACCTGTTGGAAACCCCCTTAATATGACAGTGGAGAATAATCGAGATTCTAAAACACTGTATCATTATGCGCATGGTTTGGTATCAGGCAGCGATTAATTGGATGATGTGGCGATTAATTGGATCACACGGAACTATAAATTTTTGAAAATTTTAATATATATGTTATTTATCATATTTAAAAACATAATAATTCATGAAAAATATTAAACATTCCACACAAAAAGCTGACTAATACCTCATGCTATTCAAATCAAAGTCGTTATACACTCGCACAAGTCATAACATTTTAAAAAACTAATAGAACTCATCTAGGCTTTCTTATCATTCTCGTAGCAACCGGTGGTGGAAACAGCAGCAGGAGACAATGGCGGTCAGCATCTAAACATCGGTAGTCGAAAGGATTGATCGACAGCAACTAGTGTCGGTGGAGAGGAGGCTGCATGGGGGTGACTAGGCCTAGGGTTTTGAAGCACCATATTTTTTGAAATCTTTTGAAGCTGCGATCGCGAGACTTTAGGATAATTTAATTGCGGGTCCGGTCTGGTATATTATGTGCCTGCATTATTATGCTGGCGCATGCTCTTTCACCGCCCGATTATGCAGTGCAGTTTGACTGCATAATCGAGCAGGTTTCAGTTACCCAACATCAAGGTTTTAAATATCGGTTATCGGGGATTTATCGGACGGCCAAAATCCTTATCGGATAGCGGAAATCGGGGATATATCGGGGATAAGTAGTATTTATCGGAGTGATATACTAAATAATGTGTATATATAATATACCAATTAAAAAATGTAATCTAATCATGCTTAATGAAATATAAACATACCAAAATGTAAATCATCATGTTTAGAATCATTAACTAACTGTAGAAAGCGAAACTTGCATCATAGCCTTGAAAAAATATAATGTTAGTCCAAATTGGCCGATAATCCCGATAATCCCGATAAAAAAGTCTTACTTATCGGCCGATAAGTGCCGATAACGCCGATAAATCGCCGATAAACCTAGAAAAACGATAACCGATTAAAAATCCAATTTATCCTAGCGGAGAGCTCCCAAATCCGATAACTCGGCCGATAATATCGATTATCGGCCGATATTTAAAACAGTGCCCAACATGTTTTGGTGTCGGGTGTGAGTACTCAGGAGAGTAAATCTGCTGGATAGAGCGTGTTTTGGAACACTAGAGAATAATGTGACGGTCATCGATATATTCTCTTCCCCCTCTTCAGACTACTATGTCTTTGCAGTAAAAAGTCTTTATGTCTACAAAATGAGGCTATTTTAGCTGTAAATCGTGTTATAGCTAGTTCCTTTTGCACCACAATCTGTAACAGACCAATTGCATGGAGCAAAGCCTTATAAACAGACACCTGAGCAGCAGGAAAACATGCAGGCCTCGTTGAATTTGTGGTTATGGGTTCTAGTTAGGCGTCGTTACCAAATCCATTCAAATACTATACCATATGTCAGGGTTGCATTTCCAGCCAAATTTCTACCAGAAATCACTACCCATGTAACTGCAATTGATAATTTGATACGTCGCTATCTGATTGGTTAGAGCCAAGTTTGGTTACTAAATTAGGAGTAGAAAGGTTTTGGAGATAAGAGGACGAATTTGGTTAACTATAGAATACAATGAGCAACTTCAGTGGTTGTAATTCCAGCGGACGTGTCAGTGAAATGAAACCTGTCAGCGCAACTACTCTAAACTATTTTCAGCAATGCAATTTCGTTGTTTGCTCCCCCCTGCTAGACATCAATTATTCATGACGTAAGGACACCTTGTAGGCTGATAATTTGTTGGTTAAGGTGAGACGGTTTTTCTGGGGTGCACAGCTGATTCCATGACCGACTAAAGGAAAAATTATGCACGGTGAATATAATACTTGCAAAATGTTCTAGTTCAGAATATTGGATATAATGAGAGTCAAGACTTTATGCAAACATGACAAGTATAGAGGAAATCTTGATTTTGACATAACAGGATAATGTACTCTAGAACTCATACCTAATAGTACCAGCATGCAATAGACAACGCACACGTACAACATATCATTAAAATTAACTATCACCACACCTATCTCAAATAACGTAGAAAATTAACTAACCAGCATTGACAATTACCAATTTCCCACATTGTTTTTGGCTTGAAATTTAATGATTTAGCTGTAAGTTGGCATGCCAAGGCCTTCTATAGCCCTTCTAAAAGCTGTCCACCCCACTGATGCACAATAACTAATGCCTATAATATCAGTCAAGTAATGGAAGGTTTTTTTTGGGGTGATACATACAGGGTCAATGCCACATTACCTTTTTAATATGTGATTTTTTTATTCTGTTTATCATTTCTGATGTACTTATTTTTTTTGGGGTGGATGACAATATTTATTACACTAATTATTGCAGGAAAGCTCTCATCCAAATCGTACGGTTCAGGCTGGGTCATCAGTTATTAGTTCCTTTGGGGATTGCTGTTGTCATCCTCTATGTGCTCTTGCTCGTTTTCACACGGGAAATACCTTTGCCCTGGTTTACATTTTGTTGGCTTCAGGGGTTTGAGAAGAAACAATTCTACAAGCAAAAAAGCAATCTCATTTTGCTGGGGATATTTACTGTAGCATTAATCTCATTTTGCTGGGGATATTTACTGTAGCATTAGCCCCATTATTTTTGTACAGACATTAACCGATCAGCGGCGATTATGATTTAACAGGATAATTGCTCGTCGGTCCTCTGAGTTTTGCGTTGTGAGTTTCATGTTGTTTGTAGTTTCGCTTATTAGCTAGATTGCTTTGGTGGGGTATTTATTTCACGTTAGTACGCTTCTTTTTTGCACAACAAGGGGGAAACAAATCTGCCCCAAATGATGTAAAGGCTAACTGCGGATGGAATTACTGACCAAATGCAGGTGGCCCCCTGTTGCTGAATCAGTCGCAGATAGAGCGCCGACGCTGTTGCCAACTGAACGTTTTGACTCTTTTACCCTCAAGAGGTCTAGTCTCAAAAATCTTCACTTTCTTCTTTCTCTAGGGGTAAAAGAGCCAAAAAAGTTCACTCGGAGGTCTATCGACGCTGGCAGAACTACAGTGGGTTTATCAGCAATTAGCCATGATATAAAAATCACTGTTTCAGCCATCTAGCTAGTGGCAGCTGCACTTGATGAGGAAAGTTGAATATGAGGACGGAAAAAATAGGGGGAGAAAATAAGACTTCTGGGGCTTGAGAACCAAAAGCAACAACAGTAGCACAAAAGCAACAACAGTAGCACCAAATACAACACTCCTGGGACTGTAGAGATTTCCCATATCTTGCGGAGAAGAATGGCCAGTTGAACAAGCTTTACTTTCTAAACTTTTGTTACACATTGCTTAGGTGATACTTTAAAGAGAAACCAAAGGGAAACATTGAGAAAGGAGCAAAAAGATGCAAGAAGAGAGAACACTGCAAGTAGTTCAAGAATTTACAAGGCAAAATATAACCCGGCTACTATGAATATACATTTCTCACACCCACACCCAATCTATTCCCCATAGAGAGAAAAATCACCAAGACCCCCAACTCATATTCCTTTTATACCGAGCCCCACCAATTCTTTTCAAGGGCTAAAATAAAATAAACCCACATTTACAACTTGCGATTGCGGCTTTGGCTCCAATAGGAGGGGGGAAAGAAGGAAAAACCCCAGTACCAAGAGGGGAAAAAAGGTTAAAAGAATATTTCAACCTTTATGGATGAAGGTACATTATTCATTACCAACACTGACAGCGGATCTATTGTCAACCATGCGGACGTTGTAGTGTTCATAAACCCTGGCTCTGTTCTCAGCCCACCATTGCTCTGCTTGCCTTTCACTGAAACGCTTTCGACTGTACAGATTAAGAGAGGAAAATGGTTGTAATCGGCCTCAAGGCTAATAAAAGTCTAAAATTGGCAGATGCCATAGGAACGAACATACATTACATTTGATTTACATAACAATATGGAAGTATCAGAATACAACAATCAATCAACGATTGAATATTAATCTGACATTCTAACTCTCATATGCAAAGCCTTTATTAGAAACACCACTTGTTAAGCATTATCAATATGTGTGCATACATATTTGTGCGAACACACATATGATTGTACATATGAAAGTTCATAAATTTAGCGAAACTTCTATAGTATTCTTTTTTTAGAAAAAACAGAAAACAAAACCTGGACGAGCTTACATATAACTTTCTGAATGGATTAATAAACCCAGAGGACTTAATAGTTGAAAGGCATAAATTTCAGAACACACTGGTTCATGAAACTAAGCATAACTAGGCTACAGTGGGCCCATTTTAAAGTCTGTTGCATGTTAGAAGATAAGGATCATAAAATGTTCTGGGATTCAGGGATTGTAAATTTTCTCTGGAGGGGAAATTGGTTTTTTTCCTAGAAGAAGCCAAAAACTCTTTACAACTAACAGATATCTGAAAACAACCCTGTAATAGTCCATTATAATGTCAGATATGTGTTGTGACCTAAGTTGCATGGAAACGGGTACAGGCATCGGTATAGGACTCAACAAATTTATAAATTGTAAGGTACGGGGACATGGCTATATATATTATAAATATATCAAATAATAATTTTCGTGAGATCATTATTGTTTTTCATTTCATGTGTTATTATAAATATATCAAATAATAATTTACGTGAGATCATTATTGTTTTTCATTTCATGTGTTATTACATTAAAAATTCCTAACATTTTTAGGTTTCTTTTATTATGTTGATTATAAATTGGAATCTGCTAGTTTCTGAACTAGACACCCAAACGACCTTTTAATTTATAGTTTTGAATTTGGATATCGGCAAAAATGAATTTGACCCATGTCTAACGAGTTTCAAGAAATAGATGTGAAGTGTAGGATAAGTCCAAGAAGTGAATGGCAAGTGTTGTAAATTAAAACATATATTATAACTGAGTACATGTTTGAAGAGAGGTATGCGTACACCCCAGAAGCATCCATGAAGTTTCACTAGATGTATGTTTCGGGTACGGGTATGGCTTCATAATAGAAGTACCCGACCAACATAGGTTGTGACTTAGACGATACATTGCAAAATCAAGGTACCATTGGTTTTAACATACAACTAAGTTACATATAATTTTGTATCTTATAGCAGAGGACCATCAAGTCATTAAGTAACAGCCTTGGAGAACTCTGACTAAATCCATTAAAGTATGCCTAAACATTTATCAGTGTGTTAAAACAGTTTAAAGCTTAATAATCTCAAGAAAAATAATGGAGGAACTTTTCATATAAAAAGAAAGTATTAAAAAAAAGAATATTAGTTTAAATGCAACAGGCAACAGATGAGATTGACTAATCAAATGACACTTGTATTAATAGTGTCTTGCTGCATATCATATACAAAGAGAGTGTAAAAATTAAGTCTTAGTTAATAGGCTATTAACACAATGCCATCTCTAGCATTAGACTGCTCTTAAAAGTGCCTCTAGAACCCTATACGATAGTTGAGGCATTAGGTTGATGCAAACATATCCTACATTTTCCTAAATGATTGCTTCTATGATGCCATGGCTTCTGTCATGTAGAAAAATAAAGGATAGACATGAAGATGCTTTAAACATACCTGAACCTAACTCGCTTGAGGTCTTTCATTCCACCAGGCAAAGAGACTAGTGTAATATAAACGCCTGGTTCATCCTGCTCGACCCATTCAGATTCGTGATTCGGGTCTGCATCAGGTGGTTTGCTACCGTTCCTTACTTCTGAATGACCACCGACTCTGTTCCGGTGGTGGCTATTGGAACCAGGTACGTTTGCTAAAGCTCCATTTGCAGAACCATTTGAATCTGGTTCATGGGAAGTGATCAAGCTGCTCATTTGGTCAATAGCTGCCACAGAAAAATCACTTGAAGCAGGACTACTACTGAAGGATGCTAAAGAAGGGAGTTTGCCACCATTTCTCAGTCCCCCTCCAGGCAACCTTTCTGCCATGTCCTTCAACTATTTTGACACAAAATAAGGGACTTCAGGCGCTTGAACTCATTAAAGAATAAAGGATAATGAAGGAAAATACAATAAAAAAATATATAATTTTAAAATTTGGAAGTTTTTTGTAACGTTGATTTAAGGATTGGGAACAAGCATGCTAAGCAAAGATCACTAAAGAAATTAGACGCATAGAAAATTGAAGAATAATAAAGTTCTGGAGTGGATTAACAGGCTTCATAAGTTTTCAGGTAATACGATAATTTCACGTGCTATAATCGCAGATAAAAAAGATACAAATTCACCACGAAGGTTATTTGCATTTTAGTTTAATCTATGTCTAAAAGAAACTGTTTGAATATGCTAAAAGAGTCTTATTTATATCCAAAATGAAATTTTAAACTAGTTACTATTAAAATATTCAGAGTTCAGAAACATGAAATTTATGCATGGGTATATATCATATATAAAAGCAACAAGTGGACTATACTAAAATAATTCTTCCTATCACTTTATCCAAAATGAAATTTAAATTAAACTTTAGAAAGATGAGACTCATATATGAATATTTTTTCTGATAGAAATATCTTCTAACGCAAACACTTTATGGATACACACTCAATCCTCTCATGTTTTTCTCTTCCCTTCACCTCCTCCACAGTCCACACGAGTTTATTGTCAAAATTCCCCTAATTTATTTGTGTTCAGTTGGATTTGACTTCCCCCTAATTTGTGTCAATTTCATTTTGCCCTAACTTTTTTATTTTCTCCAATTTCATTTTACATAGGTTATTCTCAGTTTTTTATTTTTCCTTAACATGCATCTCCTCTTCTGCAGACGCATCATGCTCTTGCTCTGTCTAGACATGGCCTTGGGACCCTATACTAGAAGACTACGCACATGTGATAATGGGAAATTTCTCTTCTATAGTTTCCATGATTAAAAAGTACAATATTTATATAACCTAAGCAGCAATATGAGAGTGGAGATTATATAGAAAAAAAAATAATAGGTGCTGGCGGCGGGCGGGCGGGGGTGAGATGGTGGTTTCCGCCAAAATCTTTTTCTCCAAAAACGAGAAGCTGTTCGACCATATATACCGAGAGGTGGCGCTCTACGGAACGTCCCCCACACAATGAAAAAAGACCAAACTGGATAGCAGGAAGCATGGTGGCGGGTTGATAGTGTATGCCTTGTGCGTAGGATCAAACTAGTGTTGACCAAAACTCGAAACAGTGTTTTTAAAATGATTTTGGAGAAAGAAAAAGTGTAAGGACAGCTGCCTTTTTGCGACAGTCCTAGGACACTCGCTCAAAAGCAAAGTGACAGGGTTTGGTTTAATTTTGGGTTAGGGTTAAATTGGGGTTAGATTTGATTAATGGAACACGTGGCGACCAGGGGAAGCAAGTGACAGCAACGCTCGCCCTGCGCGAGTGTCGCCAGAACTCTTCTTGGAGAAAATCACAACATCATGGTGTTTTTTTCTTTTTTGGGAAAAACAAAAGAAGAAAAACAAAATGGTACCCAAATATACCTAAACAATCAACAGTTCCCATCAATTTTCTAACTTAATATCTACCTATTTTTTTCTCTTTAATACTAAGCAAACAGAAACATTGAGAATTGCTAGTTTCAGCTCCATCTCTCTAATGGGTTTACATTAAAGGTAAGCTATCAATAACTGAGAGAATGAATTTGGTTCCAAGTGGAAATTTGTACTGTTTATCCATTTTATGGAAGTGGTCCACATCTATAACAACTTACATAGTCCTTGGTTCAGTAATATGTCACGCCCCCTGGGCTCGTGAGCCCATTGACGCGATGCAAGTCCTGCCACCTACTGAGTTCAACATGTGGTTTAGCTCAATCCACTCCAAAAATTGACTAAGTCAATATCGCACTTGCCTCTCAAGACCCATCATTTAGCCCTTTGAAAACTCCATTAATTTCCCGACGTGGGACTATTAGTGGGGCATCACATTATACACACGAGTGTGCTCCCCAGTCTTAACAAGCTTTAAATCATAACAATCTAACATATGCCACAATATCTAAAACATTCAACCACTGAAGTATATGACTTGATATCTCTCTTGACATAATTATCTTAAGGTGAATGAAGTATGTAAAATAATGAATAAAAATATAAAATATTACATAAAATCCAACTATATAGTGCAAGGACACAAACAGAGAAAAGGACCATAACAAGATGATTACATAAGCAGAGGTTAGGGAGAAGGGGTAAACAAACAACGTGGCACATTATCTAGACAAATGCTAAGAATAGTATTTAACTCTAAGCATACACGAGCAAGATTTTTGGGTGGTATTAAGATGATAAATAGACGAACAAACTTTTCTCATGTTCTTTAGATCTCAATATAAATGACTCAAGTTAATGCATTGTGAAGTGACAATTCACAAAAAAAGTGACATGTGGATACACTTTTAGACAAGTACTAGGCAGAAAAGCCTAATGAACAGGATGAACCCAACAGAAAGGAAAATAATGAACTCCAAGCCTCATACTCCTTTTCTGTAGATTTTTAAGGTCCATTTCACTTATTTCTTTCTCTTTCAGACCTTTTATCAAACTTCTACTCCTATTTAATTAAAGGTGATGGCTTTAATAGTTTAATTAAAACGTGAATTTCTGTTTTTCTAAGTAATTCTTTCCATTGCTATCCAAGCAAAATCTAGGAATAAGATATCAAACATTTTGGCCATTCCAAACCATCAGGATTCATAGGGTCAATCAACGAAATTTATAGAAGCAGCTAGCCAGCTAGCCAAGCAAAGCCTCCCAAAGACATGCATTTATAAAGAAGAATTTCTAAATATTTGATACTTCCCACTGTGAAGGCCTTACCCTCAAACAAGAAGGGTAAACTTCGAAGTTGAAGGCGGATTAGCACTTTTAAAGACTGGAATCATGATGAGATCATGGGCAATGAATCCAAGAAGAGTTGTGATATTCATTGGTGCCTCGAGTCCATGTCATACAGTATTTACTTTGAAGATATATTACTTAAAACTGGGCTATTTGTGCAAGTTCCCCTGTACCTTTTCTCCCGAGATATTGTTTTACAGCTCATCTGACGTCAAATGCTGACGTTAAGAAACTAAGATAACGGATAAAGGTTATCCAGGTCCAGAGCTATTGTCGTTTATAAATTCAAAAAATTGAATGGATACAATTACTGTCATCGTTCAGAAGAAAACATCTTACTTGGCTTGTAAGTGATTTAATCACTTCTTTAGCTGCTTTACACTTTGCAGTTTCTTCTCCTGCAACTGCAATTGCCTCCTTCAGCTGTTTAGTTGTTCTTTCCAACTCAATTTCTTGAAGTTGGGCCTTCCGAGTAAGATTTTCCACCTATGAACAACAATAAACGATAGTCAGAGAACTCAACTACGTAGTTTGATATGAGAAAATCTGTAGTGTCGGTGTTGAATAGGATAAAAATTTCAGCACCTTTTTACAATTTAACCAAGAACAAAATCCATTATATATATTCTGTAGCTACAAATATGTTTGACACGTAGCACATGCAAGAAACACACATATAGCAAGCTCTTTGAGTATCATGCGTCGAGCACAGTGTAAAAGAAGTTCTATAAGTATCATGAATCTTGCACGCCATAAAGTAACATATTAATCTAAAATCAAAATGGTGTCCAAGAAACAACACATCACTCTCTTGTAGCTCAAAGATCAAACTCTTATTGACAGAATTACCCAGAAAGGCAGGAAACTGGATAATAGTGCATATTGAAAGCCTAAGGCCATATAGACTCCGACGATAAGAAAGAATCAAAGTTCAGCCAAAATTCTTTAAAATATGAGCAAGTAGCAAAAGCAAATCTGAATAGACCTCAATGGCATTAGAAATATGCTGGTTCAGTTGCCTTTCAACAGTAACTAAAATATACTAGCTGAATTTTAGGATGTTGGCCAATAAAACAAGATTGTTAAGCAGAATGATTTAAAAACTAGAGTAGGTGACTTGATATGAATGATGAATTCCCAATGACTGGAGGTTGCAACACCACCAGCTCCTTGTGAGTGTAAGAGACATCGAAGCAATAAGATCCTGCTAGTCTCTCTTGGATGAAACAAGTAAATTGCTTGGGAAGATGCAACCATAAGTAGCGTACCAAGATTTGTAGAATCTCAAGGCTTACCAACAGCAGTAGAAGATTAAAAAACTAGTTAGAGCACTTAATGTATATAAAGGGGGCCTAGACTGCACTAAGATACCCTGAAGTTTCACTAACTCCATATCCATTTTATTTGCCATGATTATGTACCTGTTAAGTGCTTTTGTCCTTTTATTTTATCCTATATAATTAAGATGCTCAACCCTAAAGGTGCCTCAACTGTTTCTTAAATCATCCTTTTGATGAAACTAAGAAGCATGGACTACCACATGAGACATCGACATGACTTAACATGCATAAAGAAATAATGATACAGACACGTCGCATGACACAGTACAACCACAAGGACATGGCAAATTGACAACATCACAATGTTTTTCTTGACCTGGGTGCGTTTACAGAGGAGACTACATTAATGCTTGTACATAACTTAAAAAAATAAATGCATGCATGCAACTCATGGAAATCCAATGCTGCACATGCTTACTAATAGTACAAGCTTCTCATTCAATTATGATTTTGAATTGGAAATAGGTCTCGACTCATCATCTTACTAGAAGTAACCAAATGCATATGATGCATCTCATCTCTTATATTGAAATATATGCTGAACTTATTTAATACAAGTCAAGTCACTATTTCGATGTTTTCCATAACGTAGGGTTTTTAAATACAGATGGATAGTAAACATACATCTCAATGTGCAATTAGTACGAATAAAATTTAGTGATCATAAACTGTGTCTTAATGTCTTCGAGAAGTATCCAAAAAGTGTCAAAAAACCAAAAATATATTATCAAATCAAAGAAATGTTTGAAAACCATCAGACGCTTGAAGGAAGTGTTCGGGTTTTTTTTTCTTTCTTAATTTTTTCCTTCTTAATTTTTCTTTTTATTTCGTGCTACATGAGTAAGATACGTAACTCTAAGGTCTGAAGACTTAATTCCCAATATCATTTCTCTGAACGAACAATATCTTTGATTATATTTGTCCACTTCGCACTGACACGGTGGCAGCAGCAATCTGAGATGGACCATAGACACCACTATGAACAATATCTTTGATTTTGTTTGTCCACTTTGCATAGTCATGGTGGCAGCAACAACTGACATGACTATGGCCTCTTTAGGTGTCCTAAAGTGACCAATACTATAATTCTCTAAATATGATACAGAGACCTGAAAATACACATATACTTGTGTATGCATGTGTTTGGTCTCTTACTTCGTCGATCAGTAATATTTTCATCTATTTGTGTACATGACACGGTTTGTGCGACATCATAGTAACAATGTAACAATCTTTGGCATGTAAAGTGGATATGCATAACAAACAGATAGCATAGATAAAGGACACACAGTTCAGTTGAATGTCATAAAAATAGGAGGAATTAAACTTGAAAACAAATGTTTGTTCCTTATCTTTGGTATATAGACAATCCGTGGCATCTGGAATAGACTGACTAAAGTTACTTACTACACTAAGCAAAATTAACTAGATCAATGTTAAAATATTATTAATGTAAGGTTGTTAGCCAGTTTGATGCAAGTGCTAGAAAAGCTATATTCACATGAAGGATGAACTCCCCCTGACTATAGCCTCCACCACATACCAGATCTATGCTTGTGCCAGAGATACAATAACAGCAACGACCTGCTAAATCAAGTGGTCTAGCACTACCACTGACTTCTTGTACTTCACTATCTAAAAGTTGGGAGATGAACATCAGGCAAAGGATAAAGTACTATCACTGAAAAAGCTGACTTGAAATTGAGCTACTAGCTTGGTGTACCATGGTACAAGTCAATGCACCCATAACAGCTTCTAAGGTCTATGCCACTCATGATTAAGCATCCAACCGCATGATCTACGCTGAGAACAATCTAGTAACAATTTTGGTCATGCAGTTGAAATGCCATGCAACCAACAACATTCCATATAAGTTGTAACTCAATTATAGTATCCGCTTGCTTGGACAGTAATTTTGAATCAACATTAAAAGGCTGACAAGAAAAGGAGGGGCTGGGGGTGGGTGGGTTTATTTTATCAAATATTTTGATGGGCCTTCTTTTCATAGAGTTGTGCTCCATAGCTAACCCCAGTTTGATGGAAATAAAGGAACAAAAGAGAACAATGACTTTTATATAAAAAAACCTAAACTTATAATAGTATATATAAGATCTAATGTAATATACATACTATTAGCACTGTCTACTCTCCATAAACAATAAGGATGCAGAAATTTTCATGATTATCATTTGGCACATGCTTTGTCAATAGAAAACAATAGCAATGTATAGATCAAACAAAGTAAGCTTAAACCATGAAATGCAAGGGGATACAGATTTAACAGATACCTGTGCCTTCAACCGGAGAACCTCTTGGTTCAGGCCATCATTTGTCTTTTTTGCATCATCTACAACAAACTTTGGAGAAGTAAGTCCTCCAAGAGTGGGTGTTGGGGTTGTTGAACGTGGGGGACTGGTTCTTCTTGATACAGGAGATGTTGCACGGGAAGCAATTCTTGATCCAGGAACAGAAGCAGAGAAGAATTTTTTTGATGACCCAAAGACCGGATTTAAGGATTTTGAAATGTTTAAGCCACCCCAATTTGAGGTTCCATTTGGAATTGGAGATACACGACTGCTATTGAATTCAAATTTCTTACTCTTCTTCGATCGTCCGTCCAAATGCTTAAATGACTCCATTGATGACAACCTAGATATCTGTACATGGGATCTAGAGTCCAATTTGTCCTCCTTCTCAATCATCTCATTAAAACCCTGAATGATGCTTCCTTTCCTATTAAGTGATGAATGAGATGAAGAATCATTTTCCAACGCCTTCCCCAGCTTGTTAAAGCAGCCATCACAGACACGATATGGTTTGTTAGGATTTGGTGCCATGGAAGCCTTAAGAGACTTCTTACTGCTGCAAGAATGACAATAAACAAGCGCACAATTGTAGCAATTATGGCGTTTTCTCTTAAAATTAAATGGCTGGCGGCAGCCTGAGCAGACAGATTGGTCCACCCCAGACACCCATTTATGAATACAAATTGCTGCAGTAAAATTAGTACCACAAACAACGCTTCTGACTTGTTTGTCTTTCAAAGCATCAACCAAAGATGGGGAACTTCTGTCATTGGTATCCCCATGACCTAAACGTCCATTTGCTCCTTTACCCCAAGTGTACACTTCAGTTCTTGAAGTCAAAACTGCCACATGATAAGCACCACAAGATATCTCTTCAACGAAATTTTTAAGGAGCTTTCCTTCGACGCGGATAGGTAGCTTTCCATCTGCCTGTGGGTTTCCAAGTTGGCCATACACGGTACTGCCCATAGTGTAAACATGGCCTGATGTAGTGAGAGCCACTGTCATGCTATGCCCACATGCAACCTGGCAAAAGTTAGGCTCAACCAAGGCAGCAACACAAGTAGGCACAAGTTTTGGTTCCTTGTCACCATGTCCTAGGCGACCCTTATCTCCATCACCCCATGTAAAAAGTTTCCCTGAAGAACAGTTACTGGAACTGGAATTTCCAGCCATAACTTCTACAACTGCAGCAGTATGCCAAACACCACATGCTGCTCGCACTGTTCTTAGCCCCTTCAGTGATTCGACTTCTCTGGGTATTGAGATACTTCTACGATCTCCATGACCAAGAACACCAAAGGTTCCATCTCCAAAAGTAAACAACTGACCGGAAGAGGTCACAACAGCCGTATGCCAAGGTCCACAGGAAATTGATGAAACATGTATACCCTCCAAAGGTCCATTCACTCTTTTTGGCACCCAGTGATGCACTTCATTTCCATGCCCAAGGAGCCCAAACGTTCCTTGGCCCCATGTATACATGTCTCCGGAAAGCGTAACGGCACAACTATGGTACTCCCCACATGCTACAATTTCGATGTTCATATTCGCTAAAGAATCAATGAGTTTCGGATGTGAGGCATCTGAGTCTACACCATGCCCAAGCCTACCCCCTGATTCCTCCCCCCAGGAATAGATCTCACCCTGTTTAGTAACTAAGGCAGCATGTTTTCCACCACAAGAAATGTTCTGGACATCAAGTATAACGGCAGACTCTAAAGCTTTTGGCATGGGAGAATCCATTTTGGTAGAAGAACAGCTTCCAGCTTTATTACTTCCACCACCTAGAATACCATCTCCAGTCCCTTCACCCCATATAAAAACATCCCCCAAGGCATCACCATCATCATGTCCAGAACCTTGACTTGATGAACTTACAGCACTCGATAAACTTACCCTAAATCCATCTGTTGCGGTGCTCCTCACATTCACATTTATACTGTCAGAACATCCAGATGATAATGAATGGACCGAACCACTAGCAGAATCTGAAGGAAAGAAACCCTTAGGAGGTACTGCATACAGTACATCAGAAAATGACTTATCCAAACCATTCTTTGGGGGGCTTCCATATGGACTTCGAAACCGAAGATGATCTCTTCCATCCTGAGTTGAATGAAAGACTAAGAATGGGCAAGAAATAACTAAAAGAAAATATGATTAGTCGGGGGAAAAGGAAGCTATTAGATATTATGAGGCACCTTCTGCATCTCATTGCTGCCAAATGGGGAGCTTATTGGTGAACTTCTTCTGGTATATGTTCTTGGACTACTTGTTCCAGATGACATTCCATCACTTCTTGATTCTGTTCTCCATCTTCGGTGATGATTGCGAGATATCAATGTTTTTAAACCAGCAAACCAGACTTCAGCCTCATCTTTATCCTTACATATCTGGTATAGATGAGTAAGAATCCAAAAGATAAGAAATGTCAGCGCTCAAAATTTGCATAGAAAGAGTTAAGATGAAAGGACTGAAGATCGATCAGCAGGCTTAATAGTCACTAAACTTGCAAAAGCGTCAATAAAATAAGAATGGAAAATGCACAATCTAAGCGATGCTTACAAGGTCAAGTGATCTATCGCTATATATAAGAGAAAAGGACTGGCACTCCTTCTCAGGCCGTGGGTACCTCTGAAAAATTGCCTAAAAATGAAAACAATTTCTGATCAGTCATCTATTTTATCAGAAAAACCAGCTCACAAAAAGTTCATTTATATGCATACACGAGGAAAATTAATCTACGACAACAAGAAAATCCACAATTGAAGAGTGTTCATTCACACAATTTTGGAAGAAAAGGAAAATTAATGCATAGTGGCTGACCAGATGCCTACTAGCGTAAAGCATGATACAAGGGTCAGCATGGGAATACAGTATGAATGCAGAAAGAGGCAGTTGATGGTTATCCACAGTCGCTTCATATCTGTTCTGTAATAAACCTAGAATGAGATGAATATCAATACTTTTGAGTTTTCTACCTATATCACCCCACCCACCCAAAAAAACAACAACTGCATAATTGCTAATTTACCCACATATTCTCCTACACTGAGTTAAAATACCCCCGGATTTCACACTGTTAGTTTTCAAATGATTGTGGGCTGAAATGGAACTCGTTTCTTTAAGAAAAAAAGAGGTTTGCCGACAATCCCCGGCTACCAACGGTCTCCTCCCCTATCTTTCTCTCTAAACATAACTAAAGGTTTTAATTAGGGGCATGTTAGTCCTATCTTAAAACTAATTAACATTTTAACAGAATATGAGGAACTGGGTATATTTTTAACATAACTTATTGAGGGGTATTTTAATCCAATGTGGTAGATTTTAGGGGTAAGTAGAAAAATTAGATTTTAGCGGGTAAACCTACAAATAGGGTAGATTTGGAGGGTAAATATGTAAAAACATGACTTTTTTCTTGCAAATATATATATTTGTATTTATAAGTTATAACTCCAAAGACTCGTGACTATGTGTAAATAGAAAAAATGAGATCGACAAGAAAAATTTATCTCACAATTGAACATAAACTGAAAAAGGCAAAAAGCGTACTATTAGACAGGATGAGAAATTTTTTTGCTACAGAAGGAATTTGATGATTGAACACCTTAGTGGTAGTATTGTAGTAAATCTCCTGTGGTTGACATAAATTTTGGTTGCCAGCTATTAACTCCATGCCCATGTGGTTGACACAATTCATTTCTTTTTTCCTTTCATTACTTTATGTTTTATATCTAAAAATGCACGATTATATAAAAGGCCGACATGTATAAACTTGGAAACTTACAGTGCGCTGTCCAGGCATGATCCTGGACACATGACTCAATTTGAGATGCTTTTCCTCTTTGCCTGAAAACCAAATTAGAACGGATTCATCCTGAATAACAAAAAAGAGCAGCAGATTGTAAGAAATTACTTAATATGTACTTAAAAAAAGAACTGCAACAAACAAGTTAGCATTAATATCTCTGAAGATGTCAAACATTTACAGCTGCATATATAAGAATTACCTTTATTTCACAAGAACAACAATTAAGAACATATACATTGGATCATCCAAAGCGAAAATAGAAACCAAATGTAAATTTGAGTCATAGACTAATCAACAAAATAAAAAAACGATCTACCATATGGCAATATGAAATACTTTTGGACACAGAAGCAACTTAAATACCAGAAGGCAGATTTGATTAAGAAAAGCAAGGTCTGGTGAAAATAATGTTGTAAGATACATACATCATCTTTGACAAAACACGTGCATGCAGTTAAGCTTACATTGGACAGCCTGAATGGACAAAACTTGGGCTTTCCTCTGCGGCCATACTTGAGGAGATAGGCTCCTTTCTTAAGAGCAGTTATAGCCTGTAAGATAGAATTATATTTTAATCAACAGTTCAAAGAATCTTTTCTATCATCAAAATTAGATCCATGGCATATCAGTTTGCATCCACACAATAATAAAACATCAATCAAATTCATGACAAAAGAAAATGATATCCAGGTGTATAATTTGTTGTTTAATATATGGATATACTTGCAGTCTGAGAGGACTTTCCTCAAGAAAGAAACCACACAAACAAGAAATAGAATATGATATGGAAGACAATATGGGAGAAAGATAAAACAAAAGAGAAGTGCATCAGGTACCCCCAGGCATCACCTCCCATCATCATTATATTATTCTTTTCATTGAAAATGAGGTCAGTTAACAGAGCACAATACCATGTCCAGAAGCACCCATGAGAGTTTTAATGACATATTCACTGGTTCTCGACCTGACACCAACCCTCCAAAATGTTGCCAGCCAAGGGAGGTATCAACACAAGGGCTTACAATAAAAGTAATTAGGAAATCAGAGGGTATAAAACCAATTAGGAAGTTGGCAAATAAGAAAATCTAGGAAATTGGTCATGAAGCTTAACTAACACAAGTGACAGCACCTGAAAGACTGGAGGTCTCCTGGACAGAGGAAGTTCTAGAGGAATGGTCCAGATGATAAATGTACAATTACCACAGTGTTTGATGCAGGATGCAAGACAAACATCCAAACGAACACAAATTGCAAAATCAATTAGCTAGGAGCTGCTTGCTTTTGTTTAGCCCATAAAATGTTCATACATTTGAGGCATGATGAAGCAGCTTCCATATGTCCACACAAGTCTGAAGGATTTCTTTCTAATCTACAGAATTTGCAGATTTAGTTAATAATGACTTCTAGCTAACTAGAGCAATGAGCTAGGAGCTGCTTGCTTTTCTTTAGCCCATAAAACGTTTATACACTTGAGGCATGGTGAAGCTAGGAGTAGCATCCACAAGTTTACAGTCGAAACAAAGTCCTACTCTTAATGAGCTTCTCTTCCTTGTATTCCAGACCCCACACCCCCTTCAAAAATAAATAAATAAATAAATAAACAAACAAATAAAAACCAACTTCTGGAAAAACAAAGAGCAGGATTCACCGCCCACCACTGATCTCTTTACTTTCCAAACAGCTCTAGGCCTCTCTCAAATGACTAGAACCCACTTGTAGTATCTTAATGTGACAGCCAGGTGGTTGATTGCAGTGCATTACCACTGTTCTTCTGACAAGGCAGAATTGGCTATAAAGTCTGAAAATCTGCCGACTGCTGCCAATTGAGGCTGAGTGCTGCTAACTGTAATCAATGTTTTCTGTTTGTTTGTTTGTTAAGCGTGCCTTTCTTGTAATCTTCTCTTTTCTTCTTCTTACTGTAGGTTGAAGTGCTTCTTCAAAATCATCTAGTTCTTCTGATTCTATCAACTCAGGTAAATAATCTGGTGATAAATGGACACTCGATTGTATGGGCTATTAAGGGCACCTTACTTGTTTTAATACCTATGAACATATTGGAAGAATGATTAAGCAGTCAATCTTTTCAAATGCAAAGAAAAAGGAAGTGCACAACAATGCTCTGGGACATTACATGATTTAATAATCTATATCCTAAGGTGCCATAGGTCACTAATCAAAGGTATGGGATCTGTAATCGCTATTTACCAAATCATTTATCAGTAGTATCATCATGACATTTAGGTCTCCTCTCAATTTTCCAAAAATTCTGTTGTATCGATGAATTAATGACCAGGTCATTTATACCCTAAGCTTCACTTGCGAACCTACGATAATGAGCTTGTCCTCTATTCTCTTTTTTCCTTGATTATCAAGGATTCAAGGTCACTAATAAATGTTTCCAATCTACACACGTCTCGTTATAAACACCATACAACCCCCTAAATCTTCCTCGGTGGTTGTAGAATGCTGATGACATTAAGGCTTAATTTAAGTCTGAATTCAACTTGTATAAACTTGGTAGTAGCCATTATCTAAAACTTCCACTATAGTCAAAATAGTAAAAGCAACTACAATCTGGACATGCGCTATCAATTTACTACCAATTCTTCTAACCAACTAGAGATATCCTTGTTTGCGTCTTCCAAAAACGGCATTCCGCAACCCCTATTTGGGCTAGGAGGTTGGTCTGAAAATTGTGTCGACAGGTTTTCACCAGTGTAGACTACGTCATACCTGTCTGACATCGAAGAGCCACGCTTCGGAACATTTGAAGACTTCTGTGTCGTCTTCAAAGAATCTTGACAGGAAAAGTCTATCTAGATCCGCTCATTTCTGGATACATCCGACAGGCAATTTCATGAACCATTCAAAGGCAACTCTCTTGAGGGTGCCAATGAATAACCAAGTTAGTACGACGTCATTTGATATCACATTCCCAGTCTGTGACTTGAAATGGGAGATATATTGGTTCGGTGATCCCGTGCCGTCAAAAGTTTGCAGGATCAGGAATTTTGAACTTTGGATGATAAGGGGTTGTATCTTATTCGGCTGGATAGGGTCTAACAACTCCCTCATCTTGGAGCTCGCTTCTGTTGCCAATAATATTAAGACGGGCTTCCAGTTCCTCCATTTTAGCCGACTAAGGATTCTGCTCAATCTCAGCCTCTCTCCCTTCTTCAGAGAAGATTTTATACGGTGAGCTTCTTGATCAGAAGTCTCACTTTCATTCACCTTTTTCTTTCTCTTTGATGTAACAGGTCGGAATGAAGATGATCCTCCTCTTCGGGAAGATATGCACTGGGTCAGCGAGTTTGTTTTTGGGGACTTGGCCCTGTCTGCGACAATTTGAGTCATCAAGCTCCGGAGTTCATCGATGGTCTCTTGTTGTGCTTTGAGCATGACTTGCTGCTCATCAAGTCTCTTCATAAGATCATCAGGACATCCTGCCATATAAGCGGAGCTCTCATGTTCTATGAAAGAACTAGAGGATTGAGACTCTGCGATGGCTAAATGTTCATCATCAGAGTTAATTCCTTTAGCTAATATCCGATAATTGACAGGGGGTATAACTCCCTTTCGAGTCCGAGTGTGTTGATAGATTCCATTAGACTCACTCGGGATCTCTTTCAAACCAGGAGATCTTTCGAAGCTAGAGATTGATGACCTCCCTCTACCGATCTTATTGGAAGTAACTCCAAAGTATTCATCCTCCGAAGTTTTCCTCCTATGAGAACGTCGTCGTTTGTTGGGCAAAACAACGTTTGTTAATCGGTCAAACACTGATAGTTTGACCGCATGTGAGCAGCATTGACATCCCGAGAGGACTGCAAAAATCAGTCATTCATATTAACATGAATGAGCGACTTATTGCACTGGTCTTTCTCTCGATAAAAACCTTCTCAAATCCGTCGCAGGGACTCGATGAGAGTTACTCACTAAACGCGAGTTTTGAACTGGAACCCCCAGTCTATGATTGGACGAGACTGGTTCCTGGTGAACTTGGATCTTATTGAGATGACTTGAATCCGTAGACTTTTTATGTCCACACATCAGTCTAGTCGCGCTACGAATAACCTAGTACGAGGGTTTCGCTGCCCGGTCAGCGAGCCGGGGTCCAGAGGGCGCCATGCCCCTGGCTGGGGGGTCCGAGGGGAGTAGACGACCCCCGACGGGGTTCGGGGTCCAGAGGGCGCCATGCCCCTGGCTGGGGGGTCCGAGGGGAGTAGACGACCCCCGACGGGGTTCGGGGCAACGCCCTGAAGGTCCACGGTATACATTAGGTATTGTATTGTGTTTTGCACTTGAAAAGTGAGGTTCGTGTTTTATCAATAAAACGCGAGGGTCGCGTTTGGTACTTGGAACGCGAGGGTCGTATTTGGCACTTGAAACGCGAGGTCTGCATTTAGGTTTGGCAACGCGAGGGTTGCGTTCTTCATTGACGACGCGGGGTCGCGTTTTGACTGGGAAACGCGAAGTTGAAGTTCACTTTCAACGTGGACTTGAGGTCCGCGTTTTGATTGTAAAACGTGCCATTGAGAGCCACGTTCAGTCTGGTTCTCACGAAGCTCATGTTCAAGGCTTGCGTTCTAAAGTAGAAACGCGAAGCTCAGGGTTGTGTTTAGGCTCACGAACACGAAGTTCGCGTTGGTTGGAGGATCAGCTTTCTCGGAGTTGTGCCCATCGCTGGGACATTCTTCTTCGACGAGCAGCGTTCTTCTTGGCCTGTTTTAAGGCTTTTACAACGACATCATCATCCATCATCGCGGCAATAGGTCTCTTGTGGCCCAGTGTCTTTTGCCTAGACGTGGGCTTAGGACTTTCAACTCGATTGACGAGTTTAGTTGGATTAAAGTCTTCTCCTTCAGAGGAAAGACTGTCTGAACAGTCTAACCCGGGGGAGAGACTTTCCTTTGGTGAGTTGACCATAATTGAAGCTTTGGTCTCCTTAGAGATTTTACGGATCTTGCACATAGTCTTGGGGCTAAGGGATCCGGAGGAGAGGAACTCCTCATACTTGACTTGATCGAATTCCACCATCAGAGTTTTGACCGTCGTTCCAGCGTAGTTGATGTCGGATTGCGCCACTACTTCTTCATCGGTGAAAAAGCTCATTCCCAGCAAAATGACCATCTTTTGTTTGTGAGAAAATTGAAGAAGAAATGAGAATAAATTTGTATTATCTCTCTGACTTAGAAAAAGAATGTATACAATCCCTCTTTACAATCTCTCTAACTGATTTAGAAAAAAATTATAATTTTTTTATATCGATTTTTTAATTTACAAAAGAGAGAAGGGATCAACGGAAACCCTCCCCTTTGTTTAAACTTGGATTCTTCTTCGTGTCGATGGGAGCTTGAATCTCACCTCGCTTCGTAGAACTTGGTAGAACTCTGAACGAGTTTAAGAGAACTTGCGATGCAAGTTTCGAACACTAAATGAGTTTAAAACTCTATAAAAGAGTTGATTTCGGAAAGAAAATTAATCCTTTTAAATTTAACTGAAATGGTTCACAAGCCAAGGCCGAAAGCTCAAAGAAAAACCTTCACAAAAACCTCCACAAAAGCTAAGAAGATCAAGACTCCAAATGCCCCTCTTTGCCAAGATCTTTTTTTCGATCTCCAGATGATCCGAAAGATCCATTTAAAGCTGATTTTTAGGTATTTATAGGAGTTTTAGGGGTGTAATTAACCCCTAAAATCGCTCCTAAGTGGAATGTAATCCCCCTCAAATCGTGGGAAACGGTTTTAGAACCGTTCAGTTTGTGTTTGAACGAGTCAAACACGAAATTCGTATTCTGGGCATGAACTCTACGTCTTGAACTTGAGACGCGGAGTTGAGCTCTGCGTGTTGAGCTGAGAACGCAGTAGTGAACCCTGCGTTTTGTTCTTGGAATGCAAAGGTGAGCTCTGCGTTTTGTTCTTTGAACGTGGCAACTAGCTCCGTGTTTTGAGTTGAAAAGACCATTGATTTGTAGCCTATTTAGTTAGAGCGTTGCAAAGATTGTGATCTTCATCTCGTCTCTTTGGAATGTGAGAGTCGTCAACTGTAACTCCTGTTGATGATTGTGAAGGTCGTTGAATTAGAAATTTCATCGGTTGTTATGAAGGTTGTTGAATTGTAACCTTCGTCGATCGTTATGAAGTTCTTCAATTTGTAACCTTATGGAAGTCAAATCGAATTATAACCTCCATTATCAGTGCTTGATGGGGATCAATTATCTGCAAGAATTTTTAGACAACCTACACGTCGCTATCGTTTGCATAATAGATCCAAGCAAGCAAAGAAACCTATCGGCAACGAGTGAGAATAGTATAGCAATGCACTCCTAAAAATTCACTTACCTACCAAAGACCAGAATTGAGATTGATCAAAGCACAAATGGATGAAAGGTCGGCAGATTCGGTACCCAATGAGGACCCCTCAAAAGCTCATCCACTTCATTTGTGCATGTTGAAGTGACAACGAACGGCCAGATGATTGAATAAAAGTGGTAAAATAATGACAAACTTGATACCCATCGTGCATTTAAGAGTGGCAAGCACATTACTCAACAAGAGAATGAGCTCATGGACAAAAGATTGTTATTTCGAAGTTCTAACCCTGATAGCTATTTTGAGCTTCTTCAATACCAAAGTCTCTAGTACCCAAAAGCTGTCCCAATTAGCACTCAGAATCCTAATTCTTAATAAAACAAAGTTACACTCTCCACTTCTACGTTCTATCCGTTCAAATACTCAATCCTTCCTTCTTCCACTGTCTAGAACCCTAAATCCAGAAAGAAACATGATCCCCGAAACCCAACTTTTTAATCAAATTAGAACCCTGTTTCGAACATCACGTGCATTTCTACGCCTAATCTAGATTATCCAATCCAATCAAATAAAAAACAGCTCAAAAAAGAAATCGACATCAAATCTCTCCAATCAAAAGAGTAAAGTAAAAAAAAACGATTACCTGCTCGATGTCCCTCTCAACAGGACCGCCTCTTCCTTGATCCGCCGCCGCCATCGCCGCAGCCGCCGCTTCAAGAATCGCAACCTCCGACGATCCCCCGCCTTCTCCCGCGCCCTAATCCAATCAAGAACCCCATCGGAATCCAATCGAGGCCACTGAGCCCTAGAGCTCAGATCCAAATGCCGGCGCTAACAAACCTCCAGATTTCTCGGAGAATCGAAGCTGATGATGAAGGATAGTTGTAAGTAAAGGTCAGAGCTTTGAGAGAGGGAGAGCGAGATTCTCTCGTTTCTTTTTTGTGCAGCTGCTTTTTTAGCTGATTTGATCCGAAAATAATTAGCGAGGAGGAAAACAAACACCTCGCTTAACAGCGCAGTCTTGATGCGGAGAATTACGTTTTGGTCCTTCAGTTGGTAATTTTTTTTGTACTTTGGCCCCTGGCCCCCTCCGCTTGCTTTGCTCGGTACGGTACGGTCCTCACTGATTTGCTAGACGCTTGTGTTGTTGTCACCTGCGGTGAGTTTATAAACAATGATTCAAAGTATTTGTACGTGTACCCGCCGATCATGGCTATTTGCAACACTATCCTCGAATCTCAATTGCCCTTACTGGGGCTAACAAATATATTAGGTATTATCCAATGTGATTATGTGACCCTCTATTATGTAAAATCAATCTCTAATTTTATTTTGCAATAAACATAATATAGAATCGAACACGAAATTGCATGGGAGACGACTAGTTGAATATATTTGATAGCATAGATAGAAAATCATTCAATATTATCCACAATATGAAAACACAGGAGGGAACAGTTGTAAAGATTTTCATTAAAATACTTCTATTTATTATATTTGCTTGTACTATATTGTTTATTGGACAAATTTTGAAACCAAGCCTATTTTGAAACTTATTTATAAAAAACGACCCATTTGCATCTTATTTGTACTATTAATATAGAAGCTTCGGTTTTGATGAAAAAATGTCCGAAACTTCACGGGACTTGAAGTCCCGTGAAGTTTTTTACATAACAAAACTTCACGGGATTTCAAGTCCCGTGAAGTTTGATATTTTTTTCGTTAAAACCGACCTAGTTTCAGCCATCTGGCTGAAACTGAGTTGATTTTAGCAAATAAGTTAAGAATATGTAGTTTTTTATAAATAAGTTTCAAAATGTGTTTGTTTTCAAAATTTGTCCTTGTTTATTTGGTTTTGGTGTCATTAGTATTTACGTAAAAGTACATATACTAGTTATATTTGTAGACTTGTCATCTTGCCTCCAATAACTAAAATTTCTGAATCTACCTTTGTCCACGATCGAAATAAATGCACAAATGCATGTGCGCATTGAGGGGGGAAAAAACTATTATTGTTTTGTGGTAAGAGTTAAGTAAGAGGGACAGCGTACATGCTAAAAAAGTATAAGAGGGTTTGTATTAGATATATATAGATGTGACATTATGAACGTAATAATCAGTACAGAGTTTTATGCATACTAATCCATGAATTAGGAAAACTTAAGTTTTCTAATTCCCTCCTGCCAAACTGGAAACTTAAAAAGACGTCCACTCTTTTCCTGCCACTTCATAAGCTAATTCCCTCCTGCCAAACTGGAAACTTAAAAAGACGTCCACTCTTTTCCTGCCACTTCATAAGCTGTCGCGGAGGAACTGGATAAATTTATATTCTCATTGATTATAAATATAATTATAAAAATATATAATAAGGTTTTCTCGCTGTTTAGGTAAATTAAGTTGAATTCAATGAATAAACGCACCATGGAATCCGCAAAGTATATTTATGGCGCTTTAGAATTTATTGCTCTCGTAGTTGATTTTGTCGAAAAGAAACAATCTTATCTTTTTATCGGAGACTAATTAAACGAGCCAATAAATTCTCACTCAGGGATCTATATGCCAAAATCAAACTATTTGAGTAAGAGCTTTGTTACAGGGACCCAAAATATGGGACCAATAGGGGGGACAAGTGACGTGTCTCCCTCCTATTGGATAATGAGTTGGTCATCTTTAATAATGGCCAACTCATTATCCAATAGGAGGGGGAATTTTTCTTTGAGTAATAAGCTGGAAAGCAGAATACTACTTCATGGGGGGGTCTACGTACGATTACGCGAGAAACGCATAAACCCCCGTCTTCTTCAATTCAAATACATACGATCATGCATAAACGAACATCATATTGTTTCCGATGTAAAGTCCGATCTCAACTCATGATCCTCCCAGCCAAAATTGGTTTAGAAGTTATCTAGTACCGTGGACAACCAAGTATGGGGCCCACACGTGCATGAGATTCAATCCTATGATGCCTTTACCATAATAACACTACGTTAGGCCCCCTTCAACATGAAGAGACCATGGACCAATTTAGCATAAAAAAAAAAGGTTGCTTTGTGCGTCTGACTACCAGAACAATGCCCTCTCTTTGCTCAACAAGAAAACCCAGCTTCATGTGGCACTGTTGTAGTGGATGCCCTTGTCACTCTCTATCTCACAAAAAAGCTAAAGAAACTATTGAGTCGCAGACATCATATTGGGGCCCATAAATTGGTTCTCCCCTTCAAAAAGAAGGATTCGGATCCTCTCCACTATAAAAAAAAATAGTGGATGAACCACTACATAATCACAGCCATTGATTATCTAGTTGATGGTTATGATTTTTTTTTAGTGCAAATTAGGAATGAGTGCAATACACGGGGGTATGGTAAGTGTTAGATTTAGATTGTATCATAACCGCCTACTAAATAATCAATGCTTGAGATTAAAAGTAGTGGTCTCTCCACTACTTTTTTGTAGTGGAGAGGATCCAAATCCTTTTAATGGATTCGGATCCTCTCCACTATAAAAAAAATAGTGGAGGGACCACTACATAATCACAGCTATTGATTATCTAGTTGATGGTTATGATTTTTTTTTAGTGCAAATTAGGAATGAGTGCAATACACGGGGGTATGGTAAGTGTTAGATTTAGATTGTCAAATTAGGAATGAGTGCAATACACGGGGGTATGGTAAGTGTTAGATTTAGATTGTATCATAATCGCCTACTAAATAATTAACGCTTGAGATTAAAAGTAGTGGAGAGACCACTTCTTTTAATCTCAAGCGTTAATTATTTAGTAGGCGGTTATGATACAATCTAAATCTAACACTCAACGATTGAGATTAAAAGCAGTGGTCTCTCCACTACTTTTTTGTAGTGGAGAGGATCCAAATCCAAAAGAAATGAAGTCTATGTATGGTTACTTTTTCCAAAGCGGGCCGTGGAAAAAGATTTTGGTGTTGAGACGCTCAGAATGGAGTCTAGAGCAAGTGAACAGACATTTTTACTTCAATGCGATGATTGATATCATGGGCGGTGAGCACGTTGAAGGTCATGTTGGAACTATATATGACGCGAATATTGACATATCCATGTCAAATATGTTAATCAATACTAGTTCCTTTTGATGGGGAAAAAAAAAATTTATATGATACGAGTATAAATATGGATGAAAAATTGGTAGTGATCATGAATGCTTGGATATCAGTTTGATAGGAAGGTTAAAATTATCTTGATTTTAGATAAGTGCATCATAAGGCAATTAGTAAGACTAGAGTTAACCCCCCCACCCCCCACCCCACAAAAAAAAAAGGGTGTGCGGATTGAATTCTGAAGTCGATTGGCAATGCAAGATTTACATATCTGACCATTGGATACGGAATATTTAGACATTGTCACCCAGTTTGAGTGACTTGGTTCGAATACTCTTCTACTAATCTGAGGTGGAGTTAGATTCTGTTGGAACGTTGTTCGTACAATATCTCTTATTTGAGTAATAACAAATTCTCATTTGATATTGGTAACTGTTTGAGATAATATATTTCGGGTATAAACAAGAGATATGAGGCGAAGGGATGCAAAAAACAACATGAATGAATGTTGATTTCAGCCTTCACACCATTGATGATTATGAGGCAACCATCGTCGTGCTTAACATATAAGGATTGTCTCAGCGAGGAGAGTTGTCTTTTGTGTTCAACATCAAGTCTCCTCTTCACCAGCGACACTTTCTTTCTGTTAAGTTGTGTACGTATACAGAAAAACGACCATGCCCAGGTTCAAGCATGATTTTTGCAATGTTAATATTTTCTCTCTTTGCTTTGAATGTAAGATCTATTAGAAATGTGTTTTTTTCTCTGGTACTTTTTAATATGAACATGTTGCAATTCTCTATTTTTTTTTAGTTATCTAATTTACTTTTAAATTTTTTTCCCCTGTGTGCATTGGATTCCAAGATGATAATAGTATGTGATTCCTTTCTATCATGAGATCACAACCTATCTGAAACTAATCTGTAGTGGTAAATACATCATTATCTCTCTTTTGTGGAATATTATTAAATTGCAAATGGTTTGGAATTAATTGTGGATTATATGATGGTTAGGAAAAATTAATTATTTAAGAATGTTAGTGACAATGCCCTGGCACATCCTTTCGGAAAATGAGTGTACAAATATGTGTAGCCTAGATCAATATAAAGTTTCACTCCACTTGACATTATTTATAGTGTTTTTTGTATGTAATGGTATTCATGTCTTTGAAGTTGTGTTATCCTTTTGTATAATATTTTCGATGCTATACATGAAGATGCTTAAAACTATAACTAGTTGTGAATATAATGTCGATAACTATTGAAATCTGTAGAGGCTTGAAATTTTTTTTCTATCTAAATTTCTATTACTTTTGGCAGACATGGCATGATATGGATGGAGGTTCCAAGGTGATAGATGGTGAAGGGGAGATTAGTTTTGTGTGATGCAGTGGGAAGAAGAAGCCAGAGACATGACGAAGGAAAGGCTTGCAATGTTGATAAGACATGGGCTTAGTGGTCTTTATTGTTCAAGTTTACTTAATCATGGTTTATTTCTTTCTGTTGTAGGTCTTTTGGGTAGGTTTTGATTTATTAGATTTGCATTTCAAATTTAGAGTTGTAGAGTGTGAAGGAGCGAGGAACCATGTAAACCTATGGTCTAAAGAAGTAGAGGCTTTGTAATTAGCATATTGTTTGATTTGTTAATAAAACATGTGTCAAACACTTGTTATTTGTTTAATCAAATTACGTTTAATTTTATTTACAAAGGTTATTATTTGTTTCATTTTAGTGATTGTGAAAATAAGCAGTGATATTTACGTGGTTATTTTAGCTGTTAATATACTTTAGCAATGGTTAGGATTTATGACGTGGACATTTTATTGTTTTATAGAATTAAAAGTTGATCCTTATAGCAATGGTTGCCTCCCGTTATTAATACACTATAGCAATGGTTGAGATTTGCTGATGTGGATTTTTTATTAAAAAATAATCTAATAGTAACGGTTGTTACTTGTACAACGGTTGTACACCATTGCTATAAGCTAATTGCAACGGCCTTATTAGTAACGGACTAATTACAATAGTTTCAACCGTTGCTAATCTATTAGAAACGGTTCAAACCATTGCTAACAGGCTTATTAGTAACGGTTTGAACTATTACTAATAGAGCCTTTTGTAGTAGTGATTACACGCTTGACAAGTTACATCTCCCTACAAAATCCTTAGCAAGGGTCATTTTTAACAGCAAAGTGGCATTTTCGTTAATTTTAACAATCAAGAGGTCTCTTTGTTAAACTTTGAGGCCGAGATAAGAGCATCTCCAAGGGGCCGGAAAAATCCAGCCCCTTAGCTAAATTTAGGGAGATTTAAAGCCTTATTAGTAACGGACTAATTACAATAGTTTCAACCGTTGCTAATATATTAGAAACGGTTCAAACCATTGCTAACAGGCTTATTAGTAACGGTTTGAACTATTACTAATAGAGCCTTTTGTAGTAGTGATTACACGCTTGACAAGTTACATCTCCCTACAAAATCCTTAGCAAGGGTCATTTTTAACAGCAAAGTGGCATTTTCGTTAATTTTGACAATCAAGAGGTCTTTTTGTTAAACTTTGAGGCAGAGATAAGAGCATCTCCAAGGGGCCGAAAAAATCCAGCCCCTTAGCTAAATTTAGGGAGATTTAAAGGGTTTGTGCTCTAAGGGACCGAAAAAAGATCCCCTTCACTCCAAGTCCCTTAACTTCCTCCCTAAATTAAGGGGAAAGTTAAAGTCCCTTAATCTTCCTCTTATAATTTTATATTAACATATTTTGTTTTGGAGTTAATTTATAGTTAATTAAATTTAGTTAATGTATAGTTAATTTAAAATAATATAATTAAGTTAATGTATAGTTAATTCAATTTGTTAAATGAAATTAATATTGTTAAATGAAATTAATATTTGTTAAATGAATTAATATTGTTAAATGAAATTAATATTGTTATAATTAAGTTATTGTTAAATGAATTAATATTAAAATAATGTGAATTTAAATTTAAAATAATATTTAACTTTTGACATGATTTTTATAAATTAATTATTATATAAATTAATTATTTGTTAAATTTTAATATGCTTAATTAATTTAATGAGTATATAAGGTAATTTCATAATTTAAATTAATTAATTAATTATTTTTAGTTATTAACATTTAATTAATTAATTATTTATAAATAAACTATATATTTAATTAAATCGTAATCAATAAAATTAAAATAATTAAATATGAATAATTAAGAGGTAGGGAGACTTTTAAGAAGAAACAATTGGAGGAAAACATTCCTCTCCCTTAAAATCCAAAAATCACGCGTAAACCAACGGAGTTTACAGCTCCATGCGCCTTTCGTACTCGTGCGCAACGTCAACCCCGCACGTGCGCTAGCTAACGGGGAACCGTTAGAGATGAGGGCGATGAGGGAGACGTCAAATTCCAAAGAAATGGGGCCCAGCACACGATGGGACCACGTGTCACAAAATAGTAGTTAAAACTTAGTTAATGGCTGTTAATGATAAAGTTAAGCACTTAATTAGTGACATGATATGAGGGAATCCATTTACTCTAACGAACTCGCTTGACAATTTTGTGTCAGTTTGAGTTAACGTGTGCTGTGATTGGTTTTGGACTGGATTATTTAATTGGAAATAATTGAAATTTCACAAAGTTGGATGGTAACAGATGAAAGATGTACATCATCTACTTAGATAAATTTAGAAACATTGTGATGTGTAAATGTTTATCTTGTATTTTTTCCAAACGTCAAAGATTTGGTCACTAAATTTTGATTTCATGTAATCCAAAAAAAAAATTTGATTTCATGGGAATATGGGGACACGTAGTCTCATTGATGATCAAAGCAAAAATGTAAAAAGTGTGAAAAAATAATTAGTAAATCAGATTGATTTCGTCACATTTGAACTTTGTTGGATGGTTATAATATTTTGAAAGTGTCGTGTAGTTATGAACCGACAAATCCTAGCTTAGTGTTCTTGTATTTGATATAATACTTTATTTTCTGATGTTTATGTACCCCCCTATATGTTTCAATGACGCAAACGACTTATATCTGTTAAAAGGTACTTCGTGATCTGAAAAAGCACAACAAATAGGAATAAATAAATATATCTCATAAATCTATACTTTCCTAATCGGTGTTAATTGATGTCAGCTTTTAATCTGAGATTTCATGTAACTAACTTGCGAGCTCTGAGCAAAAGTTTTGATGTTATGCATTTTGCAATCAAGCCGCTTCAAATACACATGCAAAACAATGATCTCAATGAGCACAAAATAACTTCAATTATGACGGTGTTTGGTCACTTGTAGTTGCAGACTTGCAGTTACAATGCAACTGTCACGTGTATGCAATTGAAATATTATCATTGTTATTACATGCAACGATAATTGCAACTTAATTAATATTTTACAGCTTGCAATTGTGACTGTAATAGCAACGGTTTGATCCTTCTTGTAACAATTCATATGCAATTTTTTTCACTTTCAATTAATTGAAAAAAGTATACTAGTTTTTGATATTAGGTTAGGGATCATTTTAAATGTTTAATTTATATCTTTAAAAATTATTGTTTATTATTTTTCTTAAAAATAGAAAATATTTCAAATTATCATATCGTACTCCCTTTAAAAGTAAGAGTTCAGAAAAATCTTTCTATGGTCAATATTACCCTTAACTTTTTTTAAATATTATATTATTATCCTAATCCATTCTTATTATTCTATCTTTTTTAAATTGGTAATTAAATAATTTATCTTATTCATAATAAGACTTAGCATGTTATTGGATAAAGGAGATAAGTTTGATATAATTCAAATTTTTTACTTATTTTAGTTCGTAGAAAGTCTAAAAGACATGCTAGCCAGTACCTAAAAATTTTTAGACTTTATTAAAAAACATCCTCTAAGTTTTTTAAATTGTAAAAACACCCCTAAAAATTTAAAATTTTATTAAAATATCTTGAAAATTATAAATTTTACTTATTCTAATTTAGTGAGAAAACAGAAAAACATATGCTAGCTAGAAACTAAAAGTTTTTTTACTTTGGAGAAAATATCTTGTAAGTTTTAAAAATTACAAAAACACTCCTAAAATTCAAAGTTTATAGAAAACAACTTAAAAATTTCAAATATATTAACACACTAAAAACCTACAAATAACACAAACAACTCCCTAAATTTCATTAAATTTGTAATATACACTTTGAACTTTTTATAAATTGCAAAATAAAACCCTAAAAACTGTAAAATTTATAAAAATCCTCATAATTTCCAACCTAACATGACATTGAAAATATAGGAATTACAAATACCCCTATATGATTTATATAATTTATAGTAAGCAATCCTTAAAGTTTTAAAAATTATAAACAAACCCTTAAAATTCAAATTTTATAAAAAACACCCTGAGAATTTCAAACTCATTATTAAATTAAAAACATAGGAATTATAAATTATCTATAAATAATTTACAATCTGTAGAAAAGGCCTATAAGTTTAAAAATTACAAAAAACTCTAAAATTCATAATTTACAAAAAATACCATGAGAAGTTCTAACCTATAAACACTAAAATAAATATACAAAACTACTAACAACCCCTAGAGAATTAAAAATTTGCAAAAAATATCATACTCCCTTTTAAAGTATATATTTAGGAAAAGCTTTTCATGGTCAATATTACCCATATATTTTTTAGAAAAGAACATAACTAATTACAAATCTATTTACAAAAAACACCCTAAAAGTTTACTATATTGCAAATTACCCCTCTAAAGTTTGAAAATTTTTAATAATTTTTTGTAATTCCTCGATTTTAATATAATGTTTAATAATTTTATGTACTTGTAAATTATAAAAAATTATAGTTTTTTTATAATTTTTAAAACTTTTAAGGGTGTTTCTTTTTTAGTTTTCAAAATTTTTATTATATTTACAGTGTAATGCATAGATACGTCAATTAATGATGATATTGAAGAGTAAGTCGTTCTTAAGATGTATTAGGCCATAGTTAAGTGTGCACATCACTATTCCTAGGCAGTATAGTTTATATATGAAAAAAAATTATACAATATATATAGTTGTTAAAGTTTTTTTGACTTTAATGTATTATTTTTTATAAATTATATTTAATGTGAACCCACCATATAATTTTGATTGTGGTCATCATAATTTTAATACGTTTCATTGATTAACTATATAGGTATATAGACCATATATTATTTTACTTTCTCACATAAACTAATATTTGGTACTTAATAATTTAAATCATTACTTTTAAATTTAATATAAAAAGAAGCTATAATAACATTTATTTATTTACCTACAGGATAATACAATCTTAATTTCTATTTTTCTTGAGATTTATTCCATAATTACACACATCAAATTAGTAACTAAATTAATAATTATTTATGCTTAAATTAAGATGATTGTAGTTGGTCACTCACCATAGAATTTTTATGAAGATATATAGTTTACTTTCTATAGCTATCTGCATCGCCCATGTATATTTTATAAATTAGTTATTAATTTAACATATTAAATTACTTTTCCTTTATGAAAATTTCTTATTTGACTTTTGGATTGTGTAATTACTATATCACCATCCTAGAGCAGAAAGAGCCTTACTCTAAATAGCTTCAAGCTAATATTTGAGCTGAACTGAA